CAGCCAAACACGGGACAAGACATAAATTTGTGGATAATTGCTTGCGTTAGAGAAAAAACACGTGATTGTAACGATTTTCATTGCTAGCAAAAGTAAAGTTTATTTGATCGGTCGGAAGGATTAAAATATATTACATAGTTGCATATGATTCCCATAATTGGGATCAATGGACTTGGCCAATTGTTTAAGGATTCCATTGTCACAGTCAGCTGGTAAGTATCTTGGCTTACCAACTGAGTGGGGGAGGTCTAAGAAGCAGAACCTGAGATGGTTGAAGGAGTGGAGTTTGGCAAAGATAGCTGGATGGAAGGAAAAGTTACTCAATCATGCTGGGAGAGAAGTGTTGACTAAAGTAGTCAATCACGCAATTCCTACTTATGCTATGTCAATATTCAAGTTTCCTAAATTATTTTGTGAGGTGTTAACCTTAGAGATAAGAAGATTCTGGTGGAGTAAATCTTCAGGGGAAAGAGGAATACATTGGAAAAGTTGGGAAGTGAAAACTAAGAGAAAGGAGGAAGGAGGACTGGGCTTTAGAGATTTTGAAAGTTCAATATAGCTATGTTGGCTAAGCAGGCTTGGAGACTTGTTCAAAACCCAGAGTCGGTATGGGCAAAGATGTGGAAAGCCAAGTACTTTAAGGAGGTATCCTTTTGGCAAACTTCACCAAAACCAAACAGCTCTTGGATATGGAAGAGCATACTGGAAGGAAAAGAATTGCTTGAGGAAGGATGTTATTGGCAAATTGGTGATGGTAGTCAAGTTAATTACTGGGATGATCACTGGGTTCCTGGGTATAAGAGATTACCCAACTTACAGCAGAGCAATATTCAAAGGGTCTAAGAACTCATTTTGGTAGCTAATAGAAGATGGAATAGAGAGTTGGTTAATAATACCTTTCCAGCAGAGGTAGCAACTGAGGTCTTAACTATGCCTCTAAGTGAAACCTCTCAAACAGATGCAGTCAGATAGGCTCACACAAATTCTGGAATCTACACTGTAAGGAGTTGTCATCATTTGCAAAAACAGAGTAAAACCCCCTCAAAGAAGATCTAATGCTTCCACCTCTTATCAAGTACCCCAAGGCATATGGAAGGTTATATGGAGTATCCAAGTACCTCCAAAAATACAGTCCTTTATGTGNTAGAGTAAAACCCCCTCAAAGAAGATCTAATGCTTCCACCTCTTATCAAGTACCCCAAGCCATATGGAAGGTTATATGGAGTATCCAAGTACCTCCAAAAATACAGTCCTTTATGTGGAAAGTGGTCGGTGGTGCACTTGCCACTAAATGGGAATTATGGAGGAGAAAATTTGCAAAGTTTCCCACGTGCCCTATATGTGGGGATGAGGATGAAACTATTGAGCATTTATTGCTGGTATGTCCATGGGTAAAGATAGTGTGGCAAATCTCCCATTTGAGTCTTCTCATTGACTGATACGAGATAAGGAGAATGGAGGATTGACTTATGAATCAGCTTCAAGATAAAGGCAATCAAGTGATGATCGCCTACTTATGTTGGTTTTCTTGGAAGGCGAGGAATGAATGAATATATAAACATTGCGAACCAAATAGTAAAACTATTGTTAATAGAGTTGTGATGGCAATTGAAGAAATTCATAGCAGTAGCAGAAAGCACGTACAAGAAAGTATTCTAAAATGTGTAGAACCTAACTGGATGCCTTCACCCAAGAAGTGGGTGAAGATTAATTGTGGTGGAGCATATCAAGCGAAGGCTAAGGAAGGAGCTTATGGAATTGTGGTGCAAAATCATGAGAGTTCATGGATCACTGGCGAAGCATAAACATTTGGGGCCTCTTCTGCTATAATCACAAAAACATATGCAGTAAGAGGAGCCTCTAGAATGGCACTTGAGCATGGGTATCAAGCGGTAGTGATTGAGTCTGATGCCAAGTACCTTATGGATTCATTGAGTAAGGGCCCTGAAGCTCCTATTAGGGAGATAGCATCTATCCATAAGGATTTGGTAGTATCTCCAGCAAATACCTTTGGTCCAGCTCCAGTTCGTGAGGAGATCACAAAATATGGGGGCCCANATCAACAATCCAGCAAGAACACTCGAGACGGCAACTGCAATGATTAAATCGCTTGTGGTGTCACGTGCCGGTGCCGTTGCCGGAGCTTCTTCCTCGACGGTGGCAACCACATAGACTAAACCGCTTGGGGTGTTAGGTGGCGGTGGCGGATCTCCTACCTCGACGGTGACGGCCAGCTTCTGATTGAACTCAGAACAGTGGTTGACCACACCACAAATGTACCATTTTTCTCCTTGGGTGGTTAGGCTGATCACATCATGTCCAGAGGTTGGTAGTATTGCTACGTTCTGTGGTGGAATAATGCAACTATCAAATGTAGTTTTATTTGCTTCGATTACGTTATGGTTTCCTTCTGTGTAGTTAAAAACTGCATATAAAAATTCTTGTTGGTAAGAACTTTTTTTCTACATAGTGCAGTTTGGTTGATATACAAGAACCTGTAAAGTAACAATTATTCGTATTGATATACTCAAGAAAAAATAAATAAATAAACAAGAATATAGCATATATTTTCCTAAACATTTGAGAGGGAAGATTTAGCCCCCGCTCGCCCACTAAACTCAAGTTAGGGCTAATAATTCTTTGCACGACTCACCAATTTGATGTGATGTCCGACAAAGTTTATCTATATTTGTATTGATATACTCAAGAAAGAGTGGATTCAAGAACTTTGCCTATATTTTCCCAACATTATAGAGGGAGCCCCACCTCCCGTGTAGATTCATCATTGCACTTGAGTTAGGGCTGATAATTCTTAACGCAACCTACTAATTAACTAACTTGATATGATACAACCGACACGAAGTTAGATGGTACGTGTTTAATTTTGATAAGTGTTAAAGTTATAGTAACCTAGTTTATTACGGTTTTTCTTTTTGCCTTTTTTTAATTTTTTTATCTTTATTGCTCGACTATATATACAAAATTTTATACTTAGTTTGTATCCTTTTTTATTCACTAATATATCAAGTTGGTATAAGAACCAAAACCCTTAACCCTAATCCTAGCCTAGCCCTAGCCCTTCACCACGTTGCAGCCATCAGCTACCGTGACTGCCCAACCCAGCAGCGACCCACAGCCTGCAACTCCACCGGCAGCCTTTCATTGCCCATCCACNCTAACACGCGGAACAAAAACAAAAAAATCTCCTACGGATCATCTCATATTCTGCAATATTGTCGACTTCGACTAGAAGACGAATAATGTTGTATGCAATTCAACTGTTCAATGAAATGTTTATTTGGGTTCAGAGTTCTTTTTCGAATCTTTGTATTTCTAAGATTGCATTGGATGAGCAAAATAAATAAAAATTACAACGACTTGCTCCCTCCATGACTGCTTTTCTTTTAGTTTCTTCTTCATGTAGTTTCTTGCTTTGAAGCTTTCTCACTAGCCAATATTTAACAGTAAAACCAACCCGAAATTCCATCATGTGACAATATCACTTGCAAGAAATAACAAGTTAAAGAAAATAAATTCTGAAGAATGCACTTAAAACAACTTTTGAAGTGGTCTGCCCCAAAAAGCAGTAGACTTAGCTATATCAATTCCTTCATGAATTAACAGGTTCAAATCTTCAATGCAACTAATAAAAGGTGTTCTTGAATTTCGAGATTAGCCCAATAGCTGGATCGATCTTCTTGGACGCGGAGGGACACGATGCAAAACAACCCTCCTCTTCTGTAGAGTTTTGCCTAGTCAACATCTCCACGTCAGTTGCCATGTTATTTGTTCACTTTTTTTGGTCTTCAAATTTGGTCACTCGACAAATATATTCTGTAAGAGCAAGTTGGAGTATTAATATAGAAGTTATGTTCGTGACCAAAAAAAAAAAAAGAAAGACTAGATACAAACCTAACATGTACGTGGCAAAAACAGAGTGGCTACCCTCAAACTTCAACCCACAACCTTACTGGTATCAGAGTCCTGGGCTTACATAAATTCCGAATCACTCATACAATGAATGTCAACAATCCAGAAAGAACACTCGAGACGGCAACTGCAATGATTAAATCGCTTGTGGTGTCACGTGCCGGTGCCGGTGCCGTTGCCGGAGCTTCTTCCTCGACGGTGGCAACCACATAGACTAAACCGNTTAATTAAATTTGGAGACAAAAAAAAGTGACCAAATGACATGACGATTGATGTGGAGAGACTGACTAGGCAAACCAAATACACACGAAATTTTCTACCAAAATCTAAGCCTCAAATCAAGGAAACAAATGGTTTGAGTGCAAATTCCAAAATTGAAAAATATGGTGCTTTCTCGATCTTCTAACACGCGGAACAAAAACAAAAAAATCTCCTACGGATCATCTCATATTCTGCAATATTGTCGACTTCGACTAGAAGACGAATAATGTTGTATGCAATTCAACTGTTCAATGAAATGTTTATTTGGGTTCAGAGTTCTTTTTCGAATCTTTGTATTTCTAAGATTGCATTGGATGAGCAAAATAAATAAAAATTACAACGACTTGCTCCCTCCATGACTGCTTTTCTTTTAGTTTCTTCTTCATGTAGTTTCTTGCTTTGAAGCTTTCTCACTAGCCAATATTTAACAGTAAAACCAACCCGAAATTCCATCATGTGACAATATCACTTGCAAGAAATAACAAGTTAAAGAAAATAAATTCTGAAGAATGCACTTNCTAAAGGTGACATAAACTCATAATTATAGACCTTAATTTCACTTTATTATAATAATTAATCCACGAGGATCAACGGTTGGCTTAATGACCACCATAGCCTGCAATTGGAACGTTAGATAGTGGATTCAATCTATGAAATCACATAATGCAGCATAAAGGTAAAAGTAAAGAACTTTTTAAAGTCACGTGTGCTCGTTAAATAGTCAAACACAGGACAAGACATAAATTTGTGAATAATTACTTGCAAGTGAGAAAAGACACATGATTATGACGATTTTCATTACCAAAAAAGTAAAGTTTAATAAGCCGATCACAATATATCTTAAATATATAGCTGCATTTGATTCCCATAAATTGAGATCAATATACGTGGACCGGATACAAACCTAACATATGTGGCAAACACAGTGGCTACCCTCATACTTCAACCCAAAGCCCCCTCACAGGTATTAGAATCCTGCGCCTTCCCCCGCATAACTCCCGAAGCACACATATTGGGAGTCCAACGAATAGCAACAATCCTGCAATAATCATTACGTAAAAGAGAAATCCATAGCCTGAATCGCTTGACGAATCTATGTAACATTCATACCCACAATCCGAACTGTTTGAGGTGTTAGGTGGCGGTGACGGTGCCAGTTCCGGTGGCAGAGCTCCTCCCTCGACGGTGATGGCCAGCTTCTGGTTGAGCTCAGAACAGTGGTTGGATACACCACAAATGTACCATTTTTCTCCTTGGGTGGCTAGGGTGATCACATCATGCCCAGAGGCTAGTAGCAGTGCTACGTTCTCCGGTGGAATAATGCAACTATCGAATGTAGTTTTATTTGCTTCGATGACGTTATGGTTTCCTTCTGTGTAGTTAAAAACTGCATATAAAAATTCTTGTGGGTAAGAACTTTTTTTTCTACATAGTGAAGTTTGGTTGATATACAAGACCTTTTATATAGCATATATTTTCGTATTGATATACTCAAGAAAAAAATAAATAAATAAACAAGAATATAGCATATATTTTCCTAAACATTTCAGGGGGAGGATTTAGCCTTGCTTGCCCCCTAAACTTAAGTTAGGGCTAATAATTCCTTACACGACTCGCCAACTTGATGTGATACCCGACGAAGTTAATCTATATTTGTATCGATATACTCAAGAAAGAGTGGATTCACCTACATTTTCTCAACATTAGAGAGGGAGGGTTTTGCCCAAATTCTCGTGTAGATTCATCATTGCACTCGAGCTAGGGTTGATAATTCTTAACACAACTTACTAATCAACTTGATATGACACCACCAACACGAAGTTAGATGGTATGTATTTAACCTTGATGAGTTGTAACCATGGATGGATTGTCCAGTGCCACACCCATTTAATAAATGGATCCGCATAAATCTAGCAACATACCACCTTTATATGATGCAATTCCTACTGTACAAATCTATAAATGAGTCAAGTATGGACTGAACAAGTTTTGATACGATTTGACTTACATTACTCAAAATCACTATCCAACACGACCCATTTGATGGTGCTAACTCGAGTGTAATTAGGGGTAACTTACCCAGTGTGTCTCCAACTTGGAATACCTTATCCTTAGCCCAAGCCTGATAATCGTAGCCGACGGTCCAACCGCTGGCATCTCCGACCCAAAACTCACTGGCCATGGCTGCTGTTGGGAAACTGACGGCCATAATGGCAAGGATGACAAGCAACTTATTTGAAGCCATGCTTCACTTCATCAAGTTCTGGTAGTGTCTTCAATGTGCTCCGATGGCAGCTTGTGCTATGTGGGTTCTAATTATAGTAATTCAGCTCTCTTGAGAATTTTCGCAAACACCATGTGTTGTTAAGCGAAAAACTTTGGGATGTACGTATCGATGCATACATAGGTTCAAACAAATGTGGGTGGTGCAAGCTATGAAAGTGATCCGATTGGATTGTCTCATTTTGCCGAAGAGTAATGTTTTGCAACTTAAAAAATTGATTTAATTTGTTAACCTAATAACGTGGTAATAACATAACTCTATAATATTTAGAAGCTTTCTAAGGTACCCAAAAAAAAAATTCGGTACTGACATTTACTATATTTGTTAATATTTTTATCATTGTTGTAGTATCGAATAAAAATGATAAAAATAATTACCATAACAGTAATAAAACACTCACAACAGTGATAAATCACCCATCAAAGTGATAATTTTTTTTGCACCAAAGAAAAGTGATAAAAATAATTACCACAACAATGACAAAAATACCTGCAACAGTGGTTAAAACCCCTATAAAATTGATAAATCAATCACAACAATNTGATCTAATGATGTGATAGTAACATAATCTTTTTTTTTTACAAAAGGGTGAATATCTTCTATTCCTCAAACTAGGAGTAATAATACTTAGGCAGCACTTCATTTNTTTGTAAAATGATCTACAGAAGTTATAAAAATACCTATTAAAACAGTAAAATTTGAAGTTACGATATCAAACTTTTTTTTTCGATACCATATCGAGTCCTAATATTTATGTTATTAGAGGTAAATCGTGCTTGAAAGTACGGTACAATCTGAATAATTTTGAGAGGAATATCGGTGGTCGTTAGATAAATTTATTTAAAATTATCGAATAAATTTATTAAAATCTGTCATATTTTATATTATAGATCGTTATTGTTGAGGATAATGTTGAGCCGACATTGAGGTAGGTAATATAAGTTCCCATTCCCATCATTTTCCATTTTGTTTATTTGCCTNCGAGGGTCGGTGCATGGACCTCTCGTCATTACAGATCAATGAAGAGTTAGTTATACGTAATCTTATTAATGCATGATATTACCAATGCATGTGGAGAGATTGTTTCTATGACTCGATTATATTATATCATTTCAAGATCACAATGAATTAATCTTANATTTGTAAAGAATATGATTGATCTTAAAAATATTATACTCGATTATAAAATTTATATCTTTTAAAGATCAAATTATCTATATTTATATCTATATTACTATGAAATATCATCAAAAACGAAAAACTTCTGATTAACAATAATAACTATAATAAAATAACTAATGTCAGTACTATCCTATGGACCTGTTATAATTACTTTAAAAGGTCGTATCGTATCAAAAATTAAATTTTTTTTGAAGTGTAAGTTACAAATTTAAAAGGTATGATTAATCATGAAAGATTAAGATCGATACCGAAAATTCATGATCGATCATGGGTGTCTATGATCAATCATTGTCTTCCCTCGAGTGATTGTAATTTCTCATTTTAAAGTTATAACTTCGTTATAAAAAATGGTAACATATCAAAATATTTTTTTTTGGATACTATAGACTTTCCTTGCACTCTATCTATTTCCGGTCTTCCTCATTATCTGAAACTTCCAGTCTATAACAGTAGAAACACTATAGACATTATTGAGCTATTTCTGTTATGGGCTTGTGGCATTCCTCTGCTTTCATACAAGTAGCATTAGTCTTCGGCTTAACGAGTCGCCAAAAACTTAGTTTTGCCCTGTTTCTATTCTCACGTAAGCAATCTCAGTTTTCAACTTAACGACTTTTTCACGAGTAGTCAAAAGTTCGACTTCACAATGTCTCTGATCTCACGCAAATAATGTCAGTCTCCAGTTTAGCGACTCTTTCGCGAGTCACCAGAAGTTCGGTCTAACTCTGCCTCTGTCACACAAACAACTTTAGTCTCCAGAAACTCGATCTCATGATGTGTAGCTCTGTCGTGAGTCACTCACAACTCCTCCTCTATGTAGCCCCCTTGTGTCTACCTCTCCTATATTAGAGTTCAACCCTCTCCCTCAAATTCCAATGGGATTGGGCACGGGGGCAAATGACGGGCTTGACCCAGACCAGGCTCAGCTCAGAGACCTAATCCAGAATTACAAATCAGGCCCAACTTAGGGATCCAATGCAGAAATATAGATCAGGTCAGAATCGCAAACCAGACCCATCCCAAATATACAGGTCAAGCCCACCATAAGATGGAGGAAGCTAGGTAAAGTTTGTTGCGCCATTTTGAGCAAGTTAGGTCAGCTGCGCTATCATGAAAGACTCAGTCCATAACTGACATGTAAAGAGATCTCCTTAGAACGCACAAGTCACCACCTCCACTGAACTGCCTCGCCAATAACAAGAATGGCACCACCTCTACGAAACTACTTTATCTGATATGAGAAAGGCGCCTCAATTTATTAGAAAACACATATAAATTATAAGTCCCACCTATACAAAGGAGACATCTAACACATATTACTAATACTTGAGTACCCTGACACATATTATATTAATATAGAAGTTAGGCCCAATAGAATTCTAAAAAAAAAAAAATCACTTACCAATTTTCTTTTAGATTAGGTTCATGTTGAATTAAAGCAATTGACATAATTACCGCCCTTTACAATTGTAAAAAATAACGACAATGTCATCACTTAATTTAAACACATATTCTAAAAAGCTACGCCATCTTAATGTATATTTTTCTCCATAAACAAAATCATAAGATATGTACGCTAAAAAATAAATCAAGTACGCAATTAAAATTTATATGTACATATACTTTCGAGTCAAAAAATAGCAGATATGCAATAAAAAAGTATAAAAAATAACAGGTAGACAATAATCGTCAGACAAATACACTAAAATACAGATTGTTAATGTATCTTCTTCTCCATAAACACAGATCATCAGATACGTATACTAAAACACAGATCGTTAGACAGGTACACGAAAACATAAATCATTAATGTATCTTTTTTTCCATAACACAGATCGTCAGACAAGTACACTAAAACACAGATCATTAATATACCTTCTTCTTCATAAACACAGATAGTCANATGAAATCAACGGTTGAGAGTTGAGCTCCGGCGAGTATCGCCGGTTGTGAATTGTAATGGACCAAACCTTGAGTATTCCAGAAGTCCGTCGTTGGTGGGTCCCATTCAGTTCTGGGAATGTTAATGGGCTTTTTTTCTTGAGATTGAAGCCCTGGTTTCCGCGTACGTTTTACTTTTTAGGCCCAATTAACGAAGATGGCGGACTTCAGTCGATAATTATAAGGTTTTTTTGAAAGCCGATATACCTGATTAGACTTATTTAGTAAAAAATATATAAAATAAAATGTGAGTTAAAAAGAGTTAAATGTTTATTTTAGGGTCATTTAATTCAAAATCTCATATCTTTAATGCACATTAATTCACGTGTGTTTGTTAATACATATAAATACGTATATATATACTTATATAATATTAACAAATACACATAAATATAAGTATATATATACGTATATATATATAGTGTGTATATATTTGTTTATATACACGTATATATATACTTATATAATATTAACAAATACACATAAATATGAGTATATATATACGTGTATATATACTTATATATATATATATATATATATATATATATATATATATATATATTT